GCCATTCCTCAAAGTCCTTCTCCACCCACTGAAAAAATTCTATTCCTAAAAAAACCTATTTCTAAAACCTTACAGAACACAAGAACCAGCAGAAAGTCCTGCCACTCCTCATTTTCCCGCCTTGACTTCCGAATGCTCTGTCAGTGTTTTATTCACTTCCCAAACGTGACTGCAGAGCTTTTGGCCAGGCTGGCTGGGGCACATTTCCCTCCAGGCTCCCTAAAAATGGATGGTTACTCACTGCTGATGGCTTCCCTTTCCTCTTCCCAGCCATCCAGTGGTGTCACATCCTGAGGGGGGGACGGCAGCTCAGTGTCACCTCTGTCCTCCTCCCCTTCTCACCCTGGCCCACAGCGGCCTCGTGTGCCCTGCTGGCCCTTGGCACTGAAATCTCTGCAGGTTCTGGTGAAATTATTTTGTCTTTTCCTTGCTTTTGGCTCTCGTTCTGCTGGTGAAACCCAGCACAGCCTTTCCTGCTGCTGCCAAACAAAGCTCGAGCCCAGGATGATGCTCCACACACAGCAAAGGGCTTTAAAAATATCCTCAACTGGGACAACTCAAATCCACTTTTCCCATCTAAATGTTTTTTTAATTCATGACACCTGGGGGAGAAGGTGAGTCCCAGCAGGACAAACACCCTCTTTTTCTCTAACACACATTTCCAGGGAGTATTCATAGCAAGGAAAAAGAGACAAATTCAGGAATTGACATATTTTTGCCTCAAAAACAAGACCCAGGCAGACAAAGCTGCTCTTCTTTTCTTTTCACTCTGCTCTTGTGCTCTTTTTACTGTAACCTTGCAAAGAAAATTGCTCCTGAAAAGCCACTTCCTGCTTGGGGTGAGCTTACAGCTGCTACAGAGGTTGCAATTATTCTCCTCAAACTGTTTGGGGGTTTGCTTTTAGTTTCATTAAAGATTTCACCAGTTCAGGATGTGCCTGTGTGAGTGACCAACGAGTGGGAATTGGTTCTGGATTGGGATGAAGCACATTTTTAAAATTGTAGCATTTAAGTCTCTTGAATTCAAGCCTTTCTTCCAAACTTTTCAGGCATTTCATGGCTGATTTCCATTTAAAAACTGCAATTTGACTGTGGGAGAAGTGGGGGAAGAATTCCCAGAGCAGCACTGAGTGGCAAAGGCCACAGATTTCTATCACCAGTCTGTTTTTCTGACAAAGAACAGATTTATACCCAACAATGGAGATCCCTCATAAAGAAAAGCCCCAAACAGCAGAACAACAACTTGTGTTTTGAGTATCACACTGGCAGCAAAGACAGAGCTTTGGAAATTGTTTTTACTCTCTGCTCTCAAAAACTCAGCAGATTATTACCCTTGAATACAAATATGTGAGTAAATATAGCTATAAATATAAACATATATATATAAAATACATATAAAATCTTAAAAAATATATATAAAAATATGTTTAAAAATCTAAATATATATAAATAACTCCAGGCCAAGCCACAAGAATGGCTTGGGGAGCACATACATACCTGCAGTGAACCACAATGGGTCCAGCATGGGCAGGATTCAGGGTCTTGACTTTTTTCAGGAATTTCAGCATGCCAATAGGCGTGAAAGGCACCCCAAAATCCGGCCAGCTGGTGAAGTGGAGCTGTGTGACCAGCCTTGGAGCCTTGCATCCCTCCTGGAGCTGCAGGAACACCCAGATTCTGAGTTTTACACCTCATTTTTCATGTTGGTTTTGTGGTTTTAATAGTTGATAATTATCAGTATTTTTAAAATGTTATTTAAATATATAGACAGTATTAGGTATTTTACAGACATGTTTGAGTTGGTTTTATTGTTTGTTAGTTACAAAACAAAAATATTAGTTATTGTTTGACAGTTATAGCTATTTTTGTAAAAGGTAAATGTATAACATTTATGTATAATTATTTATATTTATTTATGTATAATACCTATATGTATTATTTATTATGTATATAATACAATATGTATTATTATACATAAATAATACATATATGTATCATTTATGTATAATACATATATATTTATTTATGTATAATACATTTATGCATAATATTCTATATTTTGCAAAAGTTAAAACTATATTATATAGTTAAAACGATAATAAAATAATATAAAATAATTTAAAATAATAGTTAAAACTATAATATATTTATTACACTGACCATAAATGAAAATGTAATTAATAAATGATGTTGTGAGAATCCAAGTTCCACAGGGGCCAGATCACAACTATTATATTAAAAGCAGTTAGAAATGATTATAAATATATTAAAATCCTTCGATTAATGGATGTTAAAAGTGAATTTACAACAGCAAAACCAACAACCACAGTTATTTCGTCTAAATCACTACGTAGTTGTTTTAAAAGTAGCTAGAAGTGATTGTAAATATATTAAAATCTTCATGATTAACAATTGGTAAAGTTAATTTACAACAGCAAACCCAACAACCACAGAGTTATTTAGTCTAAATCACTATGTGGGTGTTTTAGAAGTAGGTAGAGGTGATTATAAATATATTAAAATCCTTGTGATTAATAGATGGTAAAAATGAATTTACAATAGCAAAACCCAACAACCACACAGATATTTAGCCTAAATCACTATGTGGGTGTTTTAAAAGTAGCTAGAAGTGATTGTAAATATATTAAAATCCTTGTGATTAATAGATGGTAAAAGTTAATTTACAATAGCAAAACCAACAATCACACAGAGTTACTTAGCCTAAATCACTATGTAGTTGTTTTAAAAGCAGTTAGAAGTAACATAAATATATTAAAATCTTTATGATTAACAGTTGG